CTAAATCCCCTCAATCTTCATCTTTCAAGGTAAATTTTTCTAAACTCTCTACTTCATTGTTTTTGAACATAGGATTAGTTTTAAATAGTTTTAGGTTGAAATAGTGATCGGGCATTGATTGTTTAGTGATTAGAAACTAGATGTTACAACTAATTTCATCAAAAACACAAGAATTTTCCAAATTTTTTAAATTTTCGAAATTAAAAAAAATGTTGCTTTTCAAATCATTGTGTTTTGATTAAATTATGTTGTTGTTATGAAAACTATACATATATTGTTTCTCAAAACCATATTTTTCAAAAGTGTTTTCAAAAACTTTGCCCATTAGGATTGATTTAGAGAACCTTGAAATATTGAGGACTCAATTGAGTTTTGGGATTAATTAAATTGCATACATTTGATTTTAAAATTGCAGGTTATCCAATTTATTCCGATTTCCTTCACCATGTCTAATCCTAAACGTGCTAGGTCTTCATCTAGTCGTTCACACCGACAACCAAATCCACCTCCAAATCCTCCACCTATTCCAATTTCTAATCCTAATCCTATTGATCCTAATTTGACTATCCAAAATTCGTGTTTCAATCATCCTGGTCCTAGAAATCATCGTTTTTGGTATTATCAATATTTCGACTCTTACAAAATCTGGGAAGAACGTATTCCTTCTCGTCAAGCTATGTTAGCTATCAATTTTAAATATCTTCCTCTTTTACAAGAGTGGAAATTTGATAAACTCTTTGACCTTGAACCCATCGTTTACCATCAACTTGTTCGTATTTTCTATTCTAATGCCGTTTTTGTTAAAGACCAAACTGAAACCGAAACCATAGGAATTCGTTCCTACCTTCTAGGACAATTCTTATATATTGACTCGGCTTACATAGCCAATACATTCGGATTAGATAATGAAGGGATTTCAAATGAAAAACAGGTTTTAGGATCTCGTTATAAAAGAAGGGATAGTGCAAGTGTCCTAGACCTTCATGAACGTTTTCTTCATCTAATGATTTCATGGTGGTTTCGACCATCTGGAGGTCGTTATTCTACTCTTAGAGCCTTAGATCTTTGGTGGTTATATTGTTTCGAAAACAATATTAAAATCAACCTACCTCAGATTATTTTTGCTGAAATTGTTGAAACCGTAAATCTTGTTCCTAATAAAAAAAACTTTGTTCATCTCTTGTTTACGGTTGTATTTTGAGTAATCTGTTTTCCAAAGCTGGGCTTAGAGTCGGTCTAGATGCCGTTTTTCCTCTTAAGAAACAAATTAACCTTCTTTCCTTAACGAGAGCGGGATGGATTAAGGATAAGGAAACCGGGGAATGGGTTCGAACTTCTGCAACTACTCCGGGAGTGAGTTCTTCACAAGCTCCACCCGAAGCTGACGAAGATCTCGAGCTTGAGCAACTAATGCGAGACATCGATGAAGCTGAAGCTGAACCTGAGCAGGCCGAGGAGCAGCCCGAAGAGCAAGCACAACAATCGACTCAAATGCCTCCATATTTTCAATCTTTTATGGAGACATTTGATTATCGATATGCGACCATGGATTCGCGCTTTATTTCTATAGAGTCCCATTTATCCACAATGGGAGCTCAACAATTAGAAATTCTTCGGGAAATGCGTGCAAATAATGAAGCAACCAACGCACGTATTAATGACCTCACTAACGAAATGGCCACTATGCGAGCTCGTTTTCCTCCTCCTAATCCGGATATATGATTAAATGTTTTACTTTGTTTTCCAAACTTATTGTTTAACATTTTGAATATTTTGGGATGTTTGAATTTGAGGATTGTGAATTTGTTTGGATTTATGGATGGTTTGAACTTATATGTTTGGTGTGATTTATTTATTATTGCATCATTTACATCATTATTAGCAATATGACCAATTTTGCCATATCACATTATTTATGAATATTGATTACGGAACTAATGGCTAACGTTTCTCTTAATTGTGATCTTAGCAGCTTATGCATTCATATACCTAATCAATTGGCTTAATATTTTTCACGTTTATTTGAATCTTTTTGATTTAACAAAAAGGGGGAGAAGTGTGTTTTAAGTGTGTTTTTAAAATGATAAATGGGAGAAGTGTTAAAGTAAGGGGGAGTAATTTCAAAACTTGATTTCAAAATCTTAAAATTACTAAAATGTTTTGTTATATCAAAAAGGGGGAGATTGTTGAAAACATTTTGATATTTCGATATAACAAATTAAGTTAAATGAATTTTAAGATTTTCCAAAATGATTTTCTAAGTATATTCGATATAATTATTCGAATATCAAAACATTACTCAAAATATTTCAAAAATCATTTTTAATCCTTACTTAAGTGTAAAATTAAGTTTTAATCTTAAAACAATTTCAAAATAATCTTTCAAAGTATTTCGAACCATTTCAAAGCCAAAAATTCCAGATTGCTCAGAGGGAACCGATTCCCCCCCAAGGGGGTACCGATTCCCCCCTGAATAGTTTGGCTCCGAGATTTCCAGAATGCTCGGAAGGAACCGATTCCCCCATAGGGGGTACCGATTCTCCCCTGTTCAACGGTCGAAATATTTGAATTTTACACTTAGGGAACCGATTCCCCATAGGGGGTATCGATTCCCCCCACGCTCCAAACTGTTTTATTAATTGTTTTCACACTAAAACGGCTATATGATCTTCACTAATCATCCCCAACGTTCAGAAGAGATTCAAGGTGTATTTAAACAAGTTCTGAAGCCCTTGATCAACAAGAAATCATAGAGAAACAAGAGAGAAAGCATCAAACACCAAGTTTGTGCAAATCAAGCCAATTTTCCTTTCAATATTCATTTTGCTTTCAAGAACACCATTTGTGCTCATTTGTAATTATCTTTGAGTGTTCTTTTCTTGTTCTAGAATTGTGCAAACATCTTACCTTGTGAGGTTTTCTTGTAAGTTTGCAAATTTGTAATCTTCTCTTTGGAAAAAAGAGTGTTCTCAAGAGTTGGGGTATACTCTTGAGGGATTTTGTAAGGTTATCTCTTTGGCCTCAAAAGAAAGAACAAATTAGTGAATTTGTTGGAAAATCCTTAGTGTGGATAGCTAAGGTAGTGGACGTAGACTTTGTTTGAGAAAGTCGAACCACTGTAAATCGCTGTGTAATTACTTTCAATTTTTCTGCAAAAGCTTCCACGAAATTTTTAATTGCCAATTCACCCCCCTCTTGGCCGATTCCGTCGATCGATTAACTCAACAAAATTTCATTAGGTAAATTACCCTTTTCATTTCGATTAATGTTCGAAACTATTTTGCTAGAATTGATGATGTTTAGCTCGGGTTTGTGCAATTTACTCTGTAATTTTTGTTTGATAGGAGGGAACTTGTATAGCAAGAAACATATGACCTTCAAGGTTTTCATGCCAAATTTTTTTATACTTTTAAAAAGTTCATACATCTTTTTTTGGCCGATTGAGATTTCATTGAATGATTTATTTGGTCTCATAACTTTTGGGGGATTCATATGTAAGATCGAATTAAAAAAACAGTTCATCAAAATCAGTTTGAAACTTTTTATAACTAGATGCTTGCAACTATTTCTCAATATTTTACTTTGTTGTGATCTCCTACCTCTGTACTGTGAAAACTTCATCAGAAAAAGAGAAGTTATTGTTAATGCTTGACACACAAGAGAACATGATTTCAGATTCATTCTTTGATTTTCATTTGCAATGCCTGATATTTAAGTTAAATTCCTCTGCAGATTTTTTAGAAGAACCCGACTAAGATCAAGAACTACGGTATCTGGCTCCGCTATCAAAGCCGTACCGGTTATCACAACATGTACAAGGAATACCGCGACATTACTTTGAATGGAGATGTCGAACAGATGTACACCGAGATGGCTTCTCGTCACAGGGTCAGGTTCCCCTGCATCCAGATTATCAAGACCACAACCATCCCGGCTAAGCTATGCAAGAGGGACAACACCAAACAGTTCCATAACTCAAAAATCAAGTTCCCATTGGTGGTTAAGAAGGTGAGGCCACCTACCAGGAAGCTGAAGACAACCTACAAGGCGTCAAGGCCCAACTTGTTTATGTAGTGGAGTTAAGGTAATTGTAGTTCTACGATTTTTCGTAGTGAAGGTCTTATCGGTTTGTTGACCAGTTATTGTTTTCGTTTGAAAAGCCTAGGCTATCAGGAAGGTTGAATTTTGATCTTTGGGTTTCAATATCTTGTTTTGTTTAGTTATAACCGCTAGTTTGCTATGTGATTGTCGTTTTCTTTCCTTGGAATCACCTCCGAATGACTATCAATCAAACTTTTAGATAACATGGAGCAAATCTTCGATAATATCTTCTTTTTATAAGAAATGCTGGTTGAATTAAAATAGTTACTACTAGGACTTCACAAAAAGATTTAATGTCATTATCTAGTTGAGGAATTGTCGAAAAGATGGGTTACTACATAGGTTTAACCATAATGTTTAACAAAGATTTTGTAAGATTGAGGGATTAACTTTCAGTGTTTGGGAAGTTGAGGGATGAAATTCACAACTAAGCCATAAGCAAGAGGAATTAATCATCTTGTTGTTAAACATTAAAAACAACTCATATTTATTTCTATGCAACGATTGAGTGTCTTATTTAAACCACCTTGAATTTAATTTTTTATAATTTGAATTAATATTATGAATTAAAAATATTAAAACAACCATAAAAATATTTTAGTTATTGACAATGTACATACACTTCATAGACGTATTTATAACTTCACTTATTAAAAAATATAGAACAAAGACAATTTTGTAAAATATACATTCCAATAATCTTTTATTCCTTCAACCAAAAACTATAATCTTACATTCCTGCCAAACCAACCAAATATAGTAATGTAACATTCCCAGTAATATTATTCTCTGATAATCTTTTATTCCCACTGATAATCTTACATTCCGTGAACCAAACGCACCCTAAGACAACTTGAAAATGCATTGCAAACTGTTTGATTTTTGTAAGGCTAATTAATTTCAGTTCATCTTAAAGAAAATCTGCCCTGAATTAACTGACAACTAATTGCATAAAAAATGCTTGGATGCAGCAGATATGAACAAGCCGTTGAAGAAAGTAAAATCCAAATCAAATGAAGACTTCTAACTTCAAAACAAAATAAATATGTCCCTTATTTTGGTGCTCATGGCATTGGCGACCTAGATGGAAATTGATTTTCTAGAGAATGATAATCACTAGGAACAAACACAGGTAGCTGGCCACCTCTCTCTGATCTACCCTGCTGCCGATGAAGATGATGACTCGATGAAGAACCTCTATCCAACCCCACAGACAATGAACTCGTTAGAGGACCACCAAAAAATATTGATTGACCACTATACAAAAGTTGTGATCCAGTTGTCTGCAAAGGGCCTGCATTTCTGGAAGAGGAAGACACGAAGCGCCCGGCTTCTGGATCCCAGAAAACTGAAGTTCTGGAGCTTTCTATTGCACTGCAAGTTCTCCTGATAGAATGTTCAACATCATGTTCATTCCCTTCACTTTGTTTTACTGACAATGGAGATTGATTGACTAACGCACCATACATGGGGTTAAAATGTTCTCTATTTGAATGCTGTTGTGCCATTGGAGACGGGGTTATGCTGGAAAGATGACTGCTCATGTCCCCAACGCTGTGAGCACATGATCCGGCATCATCTCTGCCCGCATGGCTCGAAGGATATGAGCTCAATGTACCTGCTATAGTATTTTTAATCTGAGACCCATTGTCAGTACTAGTGGGACTGCTTCTTCCACTAATGTTGCTACTAGACAGTTGATCAGCACTGTATGGATGATGCCTAGTGCCTACAGGACGGAGGACGGAGGAGGTTGCTCTAGCTTTGGCAGCTGCTTTAACCGCCTCTTTAGTATCCAATTTTGCAAGTTTCCATGCACTTATTCGGACAGGACGTTGGGGTAGTTTTTTACCCTTGTCTAGTGGGTGTACAGTATCTGGATCTACTGTGGATGGTAAGAGACCCGGGTCCAAATGTGGGATTATTTCATCCTTTGCAAGAAAACAATAATCAGTTATAACTTTTAAAGAATAACAGAAAATCCATGACAGATGATCATCCTAAGAGAGGATGTACCCATGTTTAAGACAACAACTGGAATTATAAATTCATATTGAAACTGCGGCCACAATTTGCATGCAACATTTCATTCTTCAATTTCTATAGCATACACCATCACCGATATAAAATGACCGAGTTTTCATGTTTAGTAGTAAGGAAGTGGTACCTGGTGGTCCATGAAGATTCTAGGTGGGGTGCACCAAGCACCTTTGTATTGCAACCTTCTCCCAAGAGAGCTTCTTCCACTTATGGCAGTTAAAGCTGAACTGGTAGGTGATGATGAAATAGTCTGCTGATCTTCACCATCTGCAGACTGTCCAGGTGGTTCACTTTGTGTTCTCATTGCAACAACATACTCATATGTTGTGATACCCTGTGGTTAGAAATGACAATGGTTCAATGTTTACATATTAAGACAGGAAGAGAGAGATGGGGGGGGGGGGGCAGAGAGAGAGACCTTTCTGATCAAAATTATATGGAAAAAGAACAGCTCCCCCAGAGGCACAATTGCAAGAAGAGAAACAGCTGTGCAGAGGGCCTGTGATCATTTGTATAATGTTAGGCAAAACCCGTGGCAACCGAGGTTTTCATTCACTCTTAGAGAAGTGAACACAAGCAGTCATCTATTTCAACCAGCCTCCGGGAAGCAAACATGTATAATTATAGAACATTTTGAAGCACCAACCACACGATTCACATTTTAGAGCTAGGATTTTTGCTTCTCAATACCCATGAAATTCGGAGGTTTAATTCAAAATCCAATGTCTAGAGTTTGTAAACTAGAGTCCAAATGAGAAAAAAAAATCAATGCAAATATTCTATAATCAATGCATATTTTGTCCTGGAAAATGACCAAGTCAACTGCGGTAAAACTTCTCAATCAATCAAGGTGCTCTCTCATAGGAAAACAATATTACAGAAACAATCTGAGCTCTTAAGCAGATGCAGAGAACCTACCACCACACTAGCAAAAGGGGGGCGGGAGAATCCAACTCCAAGCTTCTCGGTTATATCAGTTTCTGTACCCTTTTTATCAGTAAAACATCGCACAAGAACAGCAATGCCAACTCCAAATTCAACAATAAGCTGACGACCACATACATGCACACGTGCGGGCACATAAGAATAAGTTCAGTTCTTGTCAGGAGATGCAAATGAATGATATGAACCATTGTCCAAAAGCTATCCTAAGAACTTACCCAAACAAGGCTAGCTGCCATCAAGCACACAAAACTGATGTAATTTTTCCTGCCGACGCAATTATTCAACCACTGGATAAAATGGTAAAACAGTTTAGTCATGCCCAAGATTACATGAAATTCTAAATCAGTAAAAAAGAGCCGGATTGTTTTCAAAACGCTACTAAGAAATTACAAGTTATGGAGAAAAAAGCAGACTTACAGCACATAGCCAAGGCACTACAATTAGTCAACCAGAAGCCCTAGGTGATTACCAGTCCAGTAACATAAATGTTCTAGCTATCAATTTTTGATAGTAGTTCTCAAAGACCAAGAAATTGTCCATAAATTTATGACACTGAAAAGGATAAAAAATTGATAACTCACTCGACAATGATGATCAAATCCATCAACACATTTTTCACAACTTCTACAATGCTTGCTGAACTTTCGCACCTGCAAAAGGTGAGTTGCAAGGGCAGCTAGAATTATTATAGCTCAACAACATGCAACCAGAGACAAGCTTCTTCCAGAAAAAAAGAGAATCAAATATATACAAGCCAGTTGTTTCAAAAGCATGGAAATTCTAGATAATTAGTATGAATACAACCCAGGGATATAGTTGCTTGAAAAGCAAGGAAAGGTAATTTCTTTAAATAACATTCAAGCAGTAAAATATATGCAAGTCGGTTGTTCCAAAAGCACGGAAACTCTAAAAAATTAGCATGAATACAGGCTATACAGCCCAGGGATATACTTACTTGAAAAGAACGGGAAGGTAATTTCTTTTCATATATAAGTGAAAGCTATATCAAGAAACTTCTTTTTTGTGTCTAAGCGTGCACCTAGGTAAGACCGTAAGAGTGCTACTGCACAAGTTTGGGCTATTTACGTTTGATAAAATTAGCTTTCTCATTTCTTGTATTCCATTGAAAAGGTAGACATCAGTGAGAAAAAACAAAAGGTTATTTTTGGGGGGGGGGGGGTTCAGGGCTCACGGATATGGAGAGAACTATCCTACTAAGAACCTTACTTCTGCATTACACAATGTGCAGAACAAAGCATCTTCTTCTCCAGATTGTTGCTGCAGAAGGTCTGCATCTTTGCAGCAATCTTCTTTTATGATACAAGCACAAAAAAACCCACCAAGTTTGGAACACCATCGTGAACTATGCATATTATATTCACTTCCATACTTCAATCCTATACTGCAAGGCTCTTCAATAGAAGATGCATTCCCTGGTTAAACAGCACAAATTCTTTGGTTAATTGAGACAAACGATATACTACAGAGAAGCTCATATCTTAATACAGGCAGCTATTATTAAACAATTTTCAAAAGACAGTTCTAACTATCAACCAATTATGTTCACAATTATCATGCAATCTATTAGCAAAACCGTGCATAAAAAACGTTACCTGGCGGATCCATTTCATTGTGTGATTTACAAGCTGATTCCTTGTCAGCTTCAAGGAGAATTCCAGGATCACAAGGATCAATAGCAGTGCATCGAACATACAAGATGAGAACAGAGATTGCCTGAAAATGAAAATCAAGCATAAAGATAATAATTAGGAAAGCAACTAAAGAAGTTTTAAACCTTAAGTACAGATAAATCAAAAGGTTACTTCCGTTACCGTGATAGAGTAGACACCAATAGCCACATATTCATAGATATCTTTTCCAAGAAAGGGAGCAAAAAAGGCATAATATGCAACCGATAGTAGAAAGAAAACAGTAATGGCTACAACCTGTCCGCCGTTGAGAAACAAAAAGGATAATGAGTGGTTGTTGAAACGAGACACATGCAAGAAATTTATCACATGAATCCTATTAGAGGCTGGAGCTTACAAGAACATAAACCAGCAATGTGTAAAGATTACTTAGGCAATGAAAAACCATCAGGTTTAACATCACGTCTGATATAGATGGCTTCATAGAGTATTATGACTCTCTTCTAAAGTCACGACTTGGTTTAAAATTGTTTTCTCGTATTGTAGTCTTAGCAACTACTTTACATGCTAATCAAAAGTAGGCATCCCTTTGCAATGAAATAACTTGGTGACAAGGGAAATGGGCAATAATGACTATAAACTAAAATTAGAACCTTATTAGCACATAAAAAATTTCACACAATCTAATAATTTATTTTGTTTAGACTAAAAGTATATAGAGGAGAATTAAGATGTCAGCTTGTTTCTACTTTCCTTGGTAGTTCCAAAGCAAAGCAATACATTAATTTGACCAACTACTCTACTCATATTTGAGATAGATGAAAATTTCCCAAGTTGGGCTATTTTCTTAATCTAAACGGTTAATCGGATCTAATAAAAGAAAAGAAACACAAACACCTCAAAAACATGGAGCTTAGTTAATTTAAAAAAAAAATGCATTCAAGTAACACTCGACAAAATCAATATTCATGACAAACGATAAAACTCAGGTAACCCGTATACATAAATTCGTAATATATATATTATACATATATAAAAGAATCCCCTTCCAAACATACAAAAGAAACAACAAGTGCAAAAGAGATTAGGAACAGTTACTCTTCGCTAAAGATAACAATGTAAATAAATGAGAATAAAGGAAAAACACGGTAACTAGAAACACAAAATGCACAAAAAGAGGCAACTGATATAATAGAAAGGAACAGAATAAACCTGAAATGTATGAGCCGGCAGTTGCCAGCCGTGACGCCTCACCATTGTCAAACAACTGCTCCGAAATTCCTCAATCACCACCACATTCGACAAAACCCAGTTTGAAAATACTAATACCAAAATCTTGAAGACGTGTGCTTCACATTTGGTCTGGTTCCTTTTATTCTTTTTGGCATCAAAACCGTTTCATCCCTTGAACTCAAAACAAAACTAAGAAAATTAGAAGAGAGAAGAAGGGGCTCAACTAGACCCAGTAGAAATACACTAATTTAGAGAAGAGGCATAAAGTTAGTTTTCAAGATTTAGAATTTGGAGAATTGAATGAATGCATTTCGATCAGGGACAGCCCTTGAAGTTGAAGAAGCGATGAATAAAGGAAGACCAGAGTACGGAGAGTGTAGGTTTCTTTAATTTAAGGCTTAATTGCAAAAATAAATGCACCAACTCTACATCCAAAAAAATGATTTGGTACCTAAATATTTTTTTTTGTTAAAAATTAGTGTTTAAAATTTTCTCAATTATTGTTATATTTTTTATTCTTTTATTTTTTAATAATAAAAATATTTGTTTTAATGAAAAAAAATTAAAAAAAAAAACTTAATTTATTTACAAAAAAACCCCTAAACTTTTAACACAATTATAAAAAAATTCAAAAAAACTAAAATATCTCATTTCAACCCGTTACCATGGTGGAACACCGGAGGAGCACCGATGGAGCGACAGCGAGGATGAGTTTTGAGCGGAATTTGACGATGGTTCGAATGGTGGTGACAGCGTGGCATATGGACGTCGAGATCGACCGTAATCGACGAAAAATACCGTCGATGACTTAAAATTCGACGAAACTTTGAATGCTTCTCCACTGCAAATTGCGGCAGCTTACGGTGAAAGGTCATTGTGGGTTTGATAGAAGGTCGACGTTGGTGCCGATGATAGTGAGAGTGATGGTCACCGCTGGCCAACCGACGACCTATTGTAGGGGGCATGGGGAAGGGGAGAGGAAACACGCAGGGGCACTATTCTTTTTTTCTTTACAAAAAAATTATTTTTTTTAAATAAAATCTCAAAATTACTAGAACATTACATGTGTCAATTAACGGTCAGTTAACGGTGATTTTTAACAGCGAAAATTTTTTTAGACACTAAAACGTTATTAGGCAAAGTTCAAACATTTATTTTTGTATTAAGCTTTAATTTAAAATAGAAAATATAAACTGTGATTTAGAAAAACGACGCCATTTGAAGTTATAGCTATCGAATATTATGTTGTTGTTTTTTTATAGAAAGCTGCTAGTTTTATTAAAAATAGAAAATATTCAGAATTACAATGAAGATTTACGAACATAACCGTAAACGTAAACTAAATTATAATTAGGACATTTTCTTATAACTATTAACATAAAAACTAGCCACATAGATCACACAATGGCCATAAAATGAAAATGTTAAAAAACTATCAAATGCTCGAATAAAATAAAAATACGAACAAATCTGACTGCATCGACAAACGAACAACAAAAGGGGATGAAACAACTGAAAGACCACCTACAAATCGCAAATTATAGTCAAACGACTTGAGAAAACTATCCACGAGCGCAAAACGCGTATAAAAAATAATCTGAGGTTCAAAAGCAGGAAATAACAGCAAGATAATAAAGAAACACCATCTTGATCAATCGTGGTTGTCGTAATCGTCTTTCGGTTGGGCCCCGGAATTGGGCTTCGACTTGAAAAATGTGGATTGAAGTCGCCACCGACAATTTTAAAATGAATTTAGGTGGGTCAGACACCATCTTACCTGATATGCGTTTTTACCAGAAATGTGTCGGGTTCGGGAGTCGGTTACGGTCAAGGAATGATTAACACCCTTGAACCACCCTTTCGGTACCAATTAATTTACCGGTTGTCTTAGTTGTGGAAATTTAAAATTTAAATTAAAATTTAACAGACCCGATTCAAATTACTTATAATTGATTGATTTGAATACCCTTAAAAGATAAAAACGTTAGATTCGTAGCGGAGTATAAAATCGAATTAGGATAGCAAGTGTGCAAACGTGAGAATAATAAATAAAATAAGAAAAAATGGAAAATAACAAAATACGTAAAAAAATAATAAAAATAATAATAATAAAAACAAAAAAATGTTAAAAAAGACACAGATAAAGGAAAAAAATAATAGAGTAAAAAAAGGTAAAAAAATTAAAAATGAATAAAAATAATGTGTATTATAAAGTAGTATTTACTAATACAAATAAAAATAATAAATATATAATACTAAGTAAAACAAGTAAAAAATAAAGATATACATGATATTAAGAAAAATATAAAAAAAATAAAGTAAAAATATAATATATATAAATAAATAAAAACAAAAATAGAATATTAAGAATATATATATATATAAAAACGTATAAAATATAATATTAAGAAAAAAATATATATACATAGCAAATGAAGAAAAATTAATACATCTATACTTATATATAATAATAATATAAGATATATATAGTAAAAATAATATAATATAAATAAATAAAAAAGAGGAATATAGTAAATAAATAAAAATATAATTATATATATATATATGAGACGAAATTAATATAAAAGTAAAATTAAAGGGTAAATTTCAAGGTAAATTAAATATTAAGATTGACTTAGGGGGAATATTAAATACTTTTAAAAAATGAACATGCATCGGGAGTAGATCTAGGTTTGAAACTTTGAAACCCCACCCCTTTTTGGTCATCGACACAACCCACGCTTTAGGTTATTCGAACCAAATCTCAAGAAAAATAATATGCACATGCAAGAAATGAACGATTCAATGTAAAAAAAATGCTACCTTTTATTTCCTTTTCGAATCTTTACAATAGCTTTGCCTTTGTATTTTTTCGTGCTTTCCGCTGTATCTTGTATGTAAATCCGTGTCTTACAAATGGAGAGGATTCCATGTATTTATAGTGAAAAAACTAACTATTTTTATAATCCTATTAACAATAGAATCCTAATGCAACTAGACTCCTTGCTCAATTTTTGCACGTTTGTTGGTGTGGTTGTTGCTTTAAAAGATATGGTGGTGGAAGAGTCCTCTTAGGAGATGAACTCTTGCTAGATCTATCTTTTAAGAAAATGGGTGTCTACAGCTACCCCTCTTTGTCCTTTTTCGTGGAACGAAAAATAGGACAAATATAAAAAGACACAAATTTTTGTTCAGTGGAGTTGAAGAATAACTCCCTGTCGAATTGAGTTGCGGATGGCTCCTCCGTCACGAAGTCGAGTCCATCTTGAAATGATTTGAATCAGAATGTGGCTTCTCGTCGTAGTCTACTTTGGTCTTCTTCTCGGTTTAAAGACCTTGGCTAAAAATTCGACTGGAAAATAATCCCTTGGCTCCATAATGTGGTTGATATGCTCTCGAGCTGAATGAAACCGAACTCGAAAAGTCTCCGTTGACAGATAGCTTTTCTCGACTTAAGCTATGCTGACGGAAAAAATGCTTCTTGCTACTAAGGCACGGCTAACCCAGATCTTCTTCTCGGCTTGAAAACCTCGATTGCAGCCGGATAATAGTGTGATTGAGGTGTCATCGAGCTGAATGGAATCGAACTCGACAATTTTCGTTAACAGATAACCCTTCTTTCCTTGAGCTATGTTGTAAATTTGATTTACCTCTGAGTTGAATGTAATCGAACTCGAAGGTCTTTGGTGATAGATAACTCTTCTTTGAGTTGGATATCCTTCTTCATGAAGTTGAAATCCAATCTAGAGATGGATGCTACTTGTGTGTACGATTCCCCTTCGTCGTGAAGTTGAAACCACGTGTGGCCCCTTCGTCGTGAAGTTGAGCCTGGTAATTGGATATCCTTCATCGTGAAGTTGAAATCCAAGTGGGTAGTATTGTTCCGAGTCCAATATCCTCCGTCGTGAAGTTGAAATTGGCTCTGGAACTGGGAAATTATTTGTTGACAGCTAGCCGCCCCTTCGCTATGAAGTTGAGCTTGTGTTGTCTCGAGTTCAATATCCTTCGCTGTGAAGTTGAAATTGACTCTGAATGAGACTGGAAAGTTATTTGTTGACAATCAGTCGCCCCTTCTTTGTGAAGTTAAGCTTGTGTTGTCTTGAGTCCAATATCCCTCGCTGTGAAGTTGAAATTGGCTCTGAAACTGGGAAGCCCCTTCGTCATGAAGTTGAGCCTCAAATGGCATGATATCCTCCGACGTGGAGTTAAAATCGTGGATATGCAGGTACGATATCCTCCGTCGTGGAGTTGAAATCGCGGATGGCCCATTCGTCGTGAAGTTGAGCCTTGACTTGAATATCATTCGTCGTGAAGTTGAAATCCAAGTATTGTATGTTGCGGGTGGACATGATTCCCTTCGCCGTGGAGTTAAAACCGTGGATGACCCCTTTATTGTGAAGTTTGGCTTCGAGTTAGATATCCTCCGTCGTGAAGTTGAAATCTACTCTCGAGCAAATTGTGTCGCTTTGAGTTCAATATCCTTCGCCGCGAAGTTGAAATTGACTCTAGCTAAAACCTGAAAAAGTTATGCATATATGTGATGCTATGGATGCAATGCTCTTAGGTGTGCCTAAAATGCATATGCAACATATGTTATCTTGGGGCTCTGGAGAGAAATCTCGATCTCCGGTTGCCTGTATGGAATCTTGATTTTTGAATCTTCAAGTTCTGATCCCTGATCTTGAATTCTTCAAATATTCAAATCTGATGTGTACATTCTATTTTTTATTTGAGAAATGCTTCTCGACCATCTCAAGTATGTGTTTGAGCTGAGTGTAACGGTTCAAATGATGCTTCAAGAGAAGTTGTCTCGAAAGAGATAGAATTCGTTTCAAGAGAAACGATCTCAAAGATATATGTTGTTTCATGAAAAACGGTTTCAAGGGAAACAAAATTTTTTTTTAAGGGAAATAAATTTGAAGATTTTGTTTCAAGGGAAACTGTCTCAAGAGAGATAAAATCTTCTTTTTAAAAACAGTCTTGAGTGAAATGAAATGCCTTATTTCGAGTGAAACAATCTCAAGTGAGACAAAGTATGTTTTAAGAAAAGTAATCTCAAGTGAGATAATCATCTGCATTAAATGAGACTGTCTCAAACGAGACAAAATTTATATTGGAAATGTTGAATCTGAAGATGAATGTCGATATTTCAATCTGTCGAGTTGGTTGAAGTGTGACTTCTTGCTGCTGAGTTAAGCAACCACCATCGATTTTTACAAACTCTTTTGAATCAAGTATCTTTCGCCTTGAAGTTGAAACTTGACTCTAAACCTGCAAAACTTATGTATGTGAAAAAAATGATAAATATGATGCTCTAAAATGTATGCATAATTAATGAGTTCTTGTTTTATTCCTTGGACAGAATCTCATTTTT